ATTTAACTTATAGTACATATAATATATATATATATATATATATATATATATATATGTGTGTGTGTGTGTGTGTGTGTAATACATAAAAATAAAAAATGATCATAAATTTCATTGACAATAATAAATCTTCACTTGAGAAAAATACCACATTAACCGAAATTTAGCATTCCATCCTCAAAAGGGAAAAAAAGGTTAATTACATACCTTGTGGACAAGTAAATATTTAAATGTTTGATCAGCTCGATAAACTTTCAGCACATGCTCTGGAAAGTCTGACTTTACTTCTGACTCAATATAAGCTGATAAAGATGCTAAGTCTGGATTGCTTTGACTATGATGAAGGGAACCAGTTCCAGAAGATCGCTGAGGAGAACCTGCTCTTAATTCCTGATTGTTTGTTGAACCATTGCTACTCACACTATTTAAGGAATACAAACTGTCATCCGAACTGTTCAATTGAGATTCACTAGAGGAGAAAGCAAACAATTAGTAAGAGTTTAAAAACATCAGTGAAAAAACATTGAAATGATAAATATGAACCATGAAGAGAAATAATAATAGCAAAGAAACAATTTTCTGTTTTATAAATTTAAAATGATTAAAACCATAAAACAATTGTGACACTCTTTTCACAAGTTGTTATTGATACATACCCCTGTAATTGTGCATCAGTATAAGCACAAAATTGATATAATTTGCTCACCTATTGAGGGACTTGGGCATGAAGTTCATTTTTGCAAGAGCCTTTTTAAGCTTCACTCGATTACTGAGAGTCTTGAAACCTTTCTTTTCATGTTTGCCATCTGTTGCAGGATCGGACAAGGTTTTAAGACACTGGGGTTGTGGAGAATTTGGAGGAAATAATAATGCACTCACTCCTAACTCCAGTGGAATATCCACCAGACCTCTAATGTCTCCAAGGTCAAAGTGAGAAGATAACCTAGCCCTTGGATCAGGCTGTAACCGAGCAATTTCAGAAACTTTTCTTCCTCTTGGACGAGGAGAGTTCTCTGGTGTGTTAAGCATCTCTTTAAAAGCTTGAAGAAAGAATAATTAAATGAAAAATTTAAAACTACTAAATTATTCCAACTTTTCTTTTACAAAATTTATATACAGTGAATCCAACTTCTATAATCTATATTTATATAATACAAAAAAAAAGAACAAAAGCTGAATGTTACAGGTTGAACTTTTTTCTAAAAAAGCAAAGAAAACATAAAAGAAAAAATTCCAAAAGTGTAAATAATTATATCACTGAAATAAGAAGTTAATTTTGTAAACAGTCATAGACAAATGCTTTCTCTTTAAGAATTGTTTTAACTTTTTTATTTGACAGGTTGATAGGCTTTTTTTCTGTTTTATCAGATTCAAATTAATGAGTTTAAATTAAAGAACAGGATTTATAGAATGAGATCATATATATAATGAAAATATTTTCCTTTAAGAAAGTAACCATTCTAAAGAAGAAAAAAAAAAATTTAGCTTCTGCAACATACAAACTTTTGGGGCATAAACCAGAAGACCATCCTACCTAAAAGATTGGACCTGACAGTAACGGAAAGATGGGTTGTTCCTCTTAAGACTTCTAGAGCTCTAGCATGGCTCACGTGTTCAAAACTTTGTCCATTAACTTCCAGAATCTAGATATCAGATATTTACTTTAAAATCCATCACTAATCCAATAATAACTTATGCATTGTTTAAACTTTTTAATAAATAAATAGAAAAAGATAATACCTTTCTTTGTATTTTTAAGGTCTTCCTTATAATGTTTTTTTTTTTATCTCTTTGTACTCTTCTACAGCTAAAACTAACATCTGTAGAATATGGTTGTTTTTCTGTTCTCCAGAAATTATATTCAACTGGGTTAAAACAACCACAAGCTATAAATTCTGGTTTTATTCTTTGAAAAAATTTAAAAGAAAAAGAAAACTATTAGAAAATATGTGCAAAATAAAATAAAATTCTTCTTTTGATTAACTATATTAAATAATTCACACAAAAAAGAACATCATAAACAAATTAGTTTCATCACTATAACCAACCTGGTCTCCTCTTTGAAGTCCCATTTCTTTAGCTTTGGAATTCTTGTTGACCTTGGATATGAAGATTCCAAATCCTCGTTCATAGCCTCCAAGGATCGAGAAATGAAGAACATCATCTCGTGTAGAGCGTGCCAAGGTGATGGTTCTACTACGAGCTTTAGTAGCACAGGCAATGTGAAGTAAGCGTAGTTGGCTCTGCATCTTCTGAAATATGAAGTTAACAATTGAAGTTTTAATATTTTGCTTTTAAAATACCTGATTACATTTTAGTATCTACACACGTGAAGAAAAAAAATTTATTCGTGAACATTAAATATTTTTTTTAGTATTTTGTAAAAACAAATGAGAGTTTGTATATATCATACTGAAAAACATCCATTTGGTAAACCTGATTACTGCTAATGATGATGGTAACGTTTAACATACCTCTTGTTCAAGAACAGACTCAAACTTTTCTAGAAGTTCCATCATATCTGAATCCATCTCAAAGTCTGAAAAGTGATGATTAACCCAAAGAAGAATAACCCTAATAACCTAGGTGTATTAAAAGGAAAAAAGATAAATTGGTCTCATCATCTATAAAATATATTTATAACTCATAATAGGTTAACAATAATATCAGAATTGTTATCACAACATATAGTAATTACATTACCTTTATATTTCTTATCAATAAGAAAATATTTCATAATTAAAGTAATAAATACCTGCTTATAAGATACTTCTTGTTAAACTATTAACAATAACTGCATAATGTTGCATTCATAATAAATATATAAATAAGTATCTATCAATACTTATCCACATACTAAGAGAAATATCTCCAATAAAGTATTCTACAGTATTCTTAAACTAAAGCAAGCTTTCAAATCTTTCTCGCAGACATTAGTAAGCATTCTCCATTCAAATAAAAAAACTGAAAACAAAAAAGAATGCAATAAAGTTATTTGTAATTCCTATCTAAATATACACCACAAAAAACATATTCAATCAAAGTACTATATTTAAGAAAATCTGGGAAGTGATCTTACCTTATCTCGTAGCTGATGATTTTTAAACCAGCTAAGAAGGTTATTACCCACTGTCAAAGGTGAACTGATAAAAGTCCTTTGTGTAAGTAAAAAGTCCTCTACATAGCTGGGATCAAGACTATTTTCTTCCACTAACTGAGCCATTAACCTTTCTGGAGTCCCCTAGTGAATAGCAGATATTTTTTATGCGAATTGTATACAAAATGGATCTTGAAAGATTAGAAAAAATAAATTTTTATGAAAAAACAATAACAATCTTTTGATGTCATTATACAATGCAATTCTTTAATATCTTTAAAAATCTTTAAACCATATTATCTGTATCAATTATAAAATTTATCTCAGTCTAAACATGTAAAATAGCTTTATTATAAACCTACTCAATCACAGATGTATTTATATTTAATACAAGGCAAATAATAACTGTTATCACGATTTTTAAAGTAATTTCAATCACAATTCAAATACCAAAATTCACATAAAGACAAATTTATTAGTAAAAAATGAGTTCAACAAATGTTGCTTCTACATACCCTAATGACTACATGACCCTGTCGACTGCCACTATCCAGGACCCTCCGTTCTGTTACGAGAACTACCTGACCATCTTCCTCATGCTTTCTAGTGTTTTCTTCGCCTTGGTGGAGTATTTTGTGGTAATCACTCTGAGCAATACACACAAACTGACAGTCATCTACTTTAGTTCTCATCACCCCTTGGTGATACATTTTCTCTGTTGTAGCTGTTATTCCAAAACTAGAAAAATTCATAAAAGGTGTCCAGCCTTAATGTGACTACACTAACTTGTTAATACTACAATAATATAATGAGATTTTAAAACCTGACATTTTCTTTTATACAAAAAATGAGAAATATTGTAAATTTGTATTTATAAATAGCACAAAACGACCCCAACTCAGAATGAATAACCTAAATATTTCTGTAAAATGATTTATAATGCAAGTTCCTCAGCAAACAAAATTTTTCTTCAGTTTCTTCAGAGTTAAACAGCAAAAATGCTTTTCTAATAGTTGACAAAGTTTTACCAAGAGAAATGTTTAAAATATTTACCTATATATAAATAAACCGGTTTCATCTATTTTATTAAATTCTTCAATTTCAAGACAGTAAAAATACACAATAGCCATCAGCACATTACTATATGTTTGCTGCTGTACATAGCACATTTTCTAAGACATCTACCTTTCACCTAGATGGAGCTCTTCAGTGCTTCCATCTGGTAGCTCAACTTCAACTTGTCCATTGACAATGACAGACCAAGAGTCTAGTTCTTCTCCATCATTCATTACTATTGTCCCAGCTTTCTCAACAACTGCAAACACCATCACTGCACATAAAGCTCTTCTCACAGCTAAAGTCATGTTGGCAAAGGCCTGTTAAAGTGATACTCAAGCTTTAAACTAATACTCAGTAGTTCAATAAAGAACAAACATTCAATTATAAGCCTTAATATGTAACTTGTTATAAACTATATTTTTTCAGATCTCACAACTACAATAGTAGAATACTTTAAAAAATATTAAGACATCTAGGATTATATTAAACGAGTTCTAGGTATGTGACTGAAAGATGAAAAGATTAGGTTCAACTCTTATATGTTATTTATACATACATATATATACACACACACACACACACACACACACTCTCTCTTAACTAATTGGTTTATGAACCAAAAGTATTCTAAACCATGAAAAATTGTTTAAGACACTAAATTTATGAAATTACTCTTTAGCTTTGTCGGTTATATAAAACCAATTACACATAGCAGTGCAGTTTTGAACAAGAAATTACAAAGCAAAATTAAAAGAAAAAAGAGAAAACTGTCTTACAGGTAAATGCTGCATGAACTCCAATAGTACTTCAATATCCGCTTCGGTTCGTTCTGAAGAGTCTTTCTCCAAGCACTCCCTTACTGTATCTCTAACAGAAAGGTTCTACCAAGGATAAAATAAATCATTTTTAGCTAATCTGAGAAAACCTTAAGAAAAAAAACCTTCTGCTGGAGTCTATTGTTGTATATATTTGAACAAAGATTTCAAAAACGATCTCTATGAAATAACAACTTGCTTGTTTAAGAACAATTTAAGTACTTAGTTCTTTTTTGAGTTCAGTTTTCTTAATTAAAAAGTACAATACAAAATGGGATAGGAAATTGAAATTGGCTTTATCTGTACAATGGGTGGAATAATACCACAAAGCAAAGGAGTTCAAATGGACTTTATTTGTCCACTGAATGGAAACATACCTATATAAAGGTTGAATATTAATCTTAATTATTTCCAATTTTAATAATTTTCAAAAATAATCTTATTATTATTAAGTGTCTAAAACTCTTTAAAAGTTTTTTTTTTTTTTACTTATCAACTCTTAATGTTCCAGTGGATATAACTTACATCAATTAACTCTGCAAGGTCCTCCTCATCATCAGAATCTACAGCACTTTCAGTGAGTCCTGTAAGATCCACTTCTTGGTCCTCTAGGGAGGACTGTACTGATTGCATTGTGTCAGAACCTGAATAAGCTGAAGAAGTATCACTGCCATGTGAATTCCTGTTCGACTTCAGCAAAGTTTCTCCACGTTGTAATATTGTTTGTACATGTGGATATTCTGACAACTATTTCAGTAAAAAAAAATTACAATGACAAATTAAAAATAACAGTGCAACCTAGATTAAAAAAAAAACGTTGTGAAATTTTCAGTATATGGAATGACAGAGCTTTTCATTCATATTAACATATCACTATAGAAATAAAGTCACGTTAAAGGTTAGATACAAATTACAGTTGTGTAGTTCCTATAATAAATATGCCTCATTTTCTAAATTAGTTGAAACAACTGAAACTGTTAATGACTTTATAACTAAATTTACCTAAATTACTTATGACGTTCACATTTTTACTGATGGGTTTAACAAAAACTATGTTCATGTAGTGTCAACTAAATTGAAGGTTACTTACTGCACGATAACTACCCTTACAACCTGTCAATGAACGTTTTCACGTTGAAAAAAAAAAGATACTGGGTACGTTCATATGAGCCCCAAATGTCTTCCAGCATCAACACTTTTAAATAATATTTTTATTGGTTTACTTAACAGTACATCTTGTGGTATTTAATTAGTAAAAGTAACACATCATTTAAAGCTCATTTATTTATCATTGCAAAAATAAAGACATTTTGATAAACGTTTCGGTGACAATTGTTTGTTTGTTGAATTTCGTGTAAAGCTACTCGAGTGCTATCAGCGCTAGCCGTCCCAAATTTAGAAGTGATAGATTAGAGATAAGGCAGTTAGTCAACATCTCTTACCGCCAACTCTTGGGCTTCTCTGATCGAATAGTGAGATTATCCTTCATATTATAAACACTCCCACGACTGAAATGTTCGGTGATGGGATTCGTGATCGACACATGCAGCAAAATATCCGTTATTTTTTCAATAATAAATAATTGTGGTTTAAAATGTGTATTACTTTTACCGCTTGAGTGTGTGTGTATATTCTTATACAAATACCAGTAGCAATCCACGATCAGTTGAACAGAGCAGTCGCGCAATTGATTTAAAACATTATTCTTATTTATACATACAGAAAAGTCGCAACTCTAGACTGAAACATTATTAATACAGAATTAAAACTGTAATTAAATTTAACCCGAAACAAAATGTGACATAACTCAAACATTCCACGTATCACGGTAGCGCAATATCAGTCCAGCCCTGAAACGTTCTCGCCCGAAGAATGCATTACTCAGCAGTAATAGTATGGGCTATCGCGATTTCAAAATATCTTCAACGCCTACGAATATGTTTACATTTCTTAATTTACGTAATGCCGATTGGGGCATACAATATCTGTAATGAACCCTATCACTCAAAATGGATATGGCGAATACTTTTATTATAGCACTCTTCTAATTCGTGAAGAATAACGCATTGTTAAATTGTAAAAATATAATAAGCCTCATAGTAATGCTCTATGACAAGTATAACTAACTTATAAGTCTCCCTGGAGTTCGCGGCCGTTTTATTTATTTGTAGTTATACATACGAATATCGTTAAAGTGAGTTCATTGCAAGATAGTTCACGAACTGGTTTCATTATCTGTTTACTGGATGAACTTTTGAAACCATGTTTAAAAGTATTTTCCCTCACACTTAAGTAGTTCACAAAGTTATAATTTACGATTCTAGTAAGCATCTGTTTGCTCTTCTATGTTGTTCAGTCTGTGATAGGGCACAACATGAAGACTTGGATGTGCGTTTCACGGAAGTAGATTGGAATAACCTGATGTAATTTTCAGCATGATCAATTTCAAGTCATGCAGTAAATGTAGTGGAGCTCAAATTTTTTTCCCACACTTTTAACACCCAAAATCTAGTCTGTGCTGCAAAATTTAACTCATATTTAATCTGAATTTCAAACATAAAAGTTTGTAGCATTTTTAAATATACAAACAAAATATCCAATTCGAGGCACGAGAGCAGTAAGGTTTAGATGGAATGCAGCAAACTTTGGAAATTTGCAATGTTAGACGATAAAAGTCAACCAATTACTTAAACAATATGTAAATATACGAATATAACAGTACTGTCTGTTGTATGTTCATGTAACTACTTCGCAGGGTGTGGATGGACCTTCACAAAATTTGGTATTGAGGTTCACTAGATCCATGGGGAGATACATATACATTTTCATTTTGCAGGTTTTTATTGGCGTTTTTTACCATTACCTCACCTCCTGTGGATGGATGTTCACTAAATTTGGTATTGAGGTTCACTAGATCCATGGGCAGATACATATACATTTTCAGTTTTGCAGGTTTTTATTGGCGTTTTTTACCATTACCTCACCTCCTGTGGATGGATGTTCACCAAATTTGGTATGGAGGTTCATTGGGTGCGTGCAGAGATACATATACATTTTCAGTTTTGCAGGTTTTATTGGAGTTTTTTACCATTACCTCACCTCCCGTGGATGGATGTTCACCAAATTTGGTATGGAGGTTCATTGGGTGCGTGCGGAGATACATATACATTTTCAGTTTTGCAGGTTTTATTGGAGTTTTTTACCATTACCTCACCTTCCGTGGATGGATGTTCACCAAATTTGGTATGGAGGTTCATTGGGTGCATGCGGAGATACATGCAAATTTACGGTTTCACATTTTGTGTCTTGCAGTTTTTATGGGCGTTTCTGCGTTTTTTACAATTACATATAAGAGAAGCAACTTTTCATGTACTAGGATAACCTCTCATTAATTATTAATTTACATAACTTTTGTCGAGAGGACGAGTACTCCAGCTAGTTTACTATAAATTAAAACAGCGAATAATCATAAGAATCACCATTCATTTTGTTAGAACTTCGAGACCAGACGATCAACTATTCTGTTTCTAAAGAAAAAAATAAATCTTGAAATATCGTAAAGCCACCGCTGTGCGATCTGGGTAACTAGGTTTTTTCTCTCGTTACGATTCTAAAGAAAGGAAGGAAATAAAGGTTACGAGTAGACCCGCCTATTCATTTCGTCAATTAAATAACGTTAAGTTCACAAAACCGTATATGATGTTATTACATAATTGAAATTTCTTTTTCCTATAAATCTGTTTATTTTGAATTATTCAACTCTACTAGTATAGTACATGGTATATTTTTTATAGGCCACCATGCTTAGATAATACTATTTTTTTACAATTCAGTAGCTCAGAACGATAAAAAATAACTCCGCTATTTATTATTGTATCAAAATAAAGCACTTGGTGGTATCTGATAACATATTTGTCAGTTTATGTGGAACCCCAAGTTGCTAATTTGTTCACAAAATTGTTTGCACATGTAAGTCAAAAACACTAACATGCGTACACCACACACAAACTTCAATTTTTATTACTTCACCACATAAGTTTGCCTGAAAATGATTTAACCTTAACAGCGTTTAATAACAATGTATTAAATTACCTTGTTTGTGTTGTGAAACCATCTATATTTAACATAATTTCACATCCTGTACGGTGATTTAAAAGTGACTCAAAAATCCCGTAAATTTTATATACACTTCACCATTATAAGAGGCCTAACTGTATTTCTTTGGTTTGCTGATGAGCCTTGAATGGGGCTAACTGCAGTTCAAACCAGAGGGTACTGCCAGGAAAGGAATGCAGTGAGCCTCGACAAGTCATAGATTCTTTTTTCAAATTTACCTTTAGTGAAAAGGAAAAAAATCTGCACACACACACATATATATATATATATATATATTATTCTCCTGTTGTTCGAGGACAGGTGAAATCGAAGAGAAAAATTACCCTCATTTTTATGTCATGTTACCGTCGTCAACATTACAAAACATATACATAAACGTTCGTAAGTCATATATGGTTAGTAAATAATGTCTAAAATACATAATAAAAATGAATGTGTTTCAATATATTTACTGCCGTTTCAGTTAGAGAATAATGAAGAGATAATTTGACTTTGCTTATATAACTTATGTTCCATACGTTAAAATGGATAAGGCGCTCGACTCACAATCTGAGGGTCACGGGTTCGAATCCGCATACCACCAAACATGCTCGCCCTTTCAGCCGTGGGGGCGTTATAAT